TAGAAAAGAAAGTGCAATTTTTAAAACTGCTGCAGGTAACATGTTCTTTTTTAATGGTGCTACTGTAGACTTGGCTTTTTTCTCAACTCAGTACAGATGTTACGGTCTAATGGATCTTACTGTATAGGCTGTGCATAACTAGGTTGGTCTTTCTTCAGAACTCGTGATATTTCAAAGTGAAAAAAAGAAAGCCAGGACAGAAACTTAGAATAGCCGATAAATCTTACATTAAGATATTGTTAATCTTGAAACAAGGGTTATGGTCATAAAGAAAATTGAAAATGGCAATATCATAAGAAATTTAGAGAAAGGGAGAAGAAGCCCAGAATTGCTTATCAAAGTCTGTAGATTTATGCATCAGGCTGTTTTGTAACCATGGGTCTGTGCAGTTCTTAAAATTACAGAATATATATGCTATTGTTACTACTATTATCGGTACAGTGGACTGTTTATAATATGTGCTGTCCATATATTGTAGTTTTTTTTCTGTGTTGGCCAATTATAGTGACAGTTTTGGCCCTGTACTAGAGAAATTGTCGGACAAAAACAATAAGATACAATATATTAACTCCTCAGTGGCAGGTTCAGCTATAGCTTTCATGACGTAACAGCCTATGACGTATGAATGTGTCATGACTTGCAATGGATGGGCTGACTGTACACAACTCAGGCCTAGCCACAAAATTTAGAATGTTCTTTAATATTACATCTCAAATAAATCAGGCTCCATCACCATAGGGTTAAGAATGGTAACATGTTCATAATGAAAGTAATGATGTCAAAGGAACTCTTAACTCTGTAATCTACTCTTGATGCATTGGTGATGGATGACATCCTTTCACATCATGGCGAAATACCATCAGATGTCAGATGGTGCCTAGATTGTTCGGATGAGGTCTCGCATGCCTGACCACATGCCAAACAACCATCCAGGTGCGAAGTGAAGTGCGTAAATGTTCACCTGGCCTCACCAAATTCTTTTCCCACCATTTTAGAGCCTCCTTACTCTTGGCTTGGTCTACAAAGTCTCCACCTTAATAAGTACTGGCATCCTTGGCAAGCCTACAATTATTAATATGCAAACTACTACTCTAAATGGACAGTACACTCCATGATTAATTCTTCATAGTATGATTTGCCAAAGGAAAGAAAACCAACTTGGTAATCGAGGTCATTTAAACCATAAAGGAAGCCCAAATTAGTGTAAACTGACCAAATTTTACAGCAGATAGAAAAGGTGTTATACATGGAAGAAGGTAGCCGAGTGCAAAGTTATTCAAAGCAAGACATCCCACTAACAGGAAAATCTGTGATTCATTGCATTAGATACAAGTATTTTGGCTTTCTTGTCAGTAATTCCATCTACCCATAAACAAAGTGAGAATGCAAGTACTTTAGAAATGCAGTTCGAAATTCAGAAAAATAATTTTAGAGAGGATTAGTCATAAAAGAAAAAAAATGGTGAGCAGGCATCAAAGTTGAAGTAAGGGAGAAAGGATGTATTTATTAATTGGGGAAATGCGAATATTTACTGATGATGAAATATAAATGTTAATTTGTGTGGTGCCATGTAATGTATTGAAATTATAGTTATTTTCATATAACAAAGTAAAACATATTGTGCTTCAATAAAACATTAGGAAAAATCAATAAAAAATATTACTTTATTTACTGAACAAAACAAATATATATATATATATATATATATATATATATATATATATATATATATATATATATATATATATATATATATATATATTATATATATATATATTATACATATATATACATATGTATTATTGTTTATAATACTATTTTTTCCATGCTATGCATAATTCCATAATGATATGTATACACTTTTATACTGTTTAAACTTTTTGAGTGCCAGACGTGGATATATCTGGATTGACCTTTGGTTGTCACCAGCATGTTATTCCACTTTATCTGAGGGTCAAATGGCAGTTTCACTTTTTAATAAAGGGGGAGTTCATAGTGCCAGCTGATCTAAAAATTGGTTCTGTCACTCAAAGAGTACAGTATAATGATTATGGTATATCAAGAATTCTAGATGGTTTTAGTACTTTGATTATCACAGATGTAGATTTCAGCACACACACACACACACACACACACACACACACACACACACACACACACACACACACACACACACACACACACACACACACACACACACACACACACACACACACACACACACATTTACATGCATACAGATATGTATGTATCTATATGGCTTTAATATGTAATGTATATTGTGTCCTGTTTATTGAATGACAAAAGGTGGAGG